GTGTTTGAACAGATCTGTTTGAACAGATCCAGGGACTCATTTTTTTTTTAAAAATTTCCAACCACCTTCCAGTCTTTACAGTCACAGACTCCAGGACCATATCCTCTCTCCATTTTCGGGTCCTAGAGCCACCCAACACAGTCTTTTGCGATTACCTCCCTACTACTGATCATCCATGACCTTCCAGATTCATCAGAATTACTCCTCCGAGGCTGCGGTCAACTGCCTGGTCAACTTGCACCTGCGGGCCTCCTACACCTGCCACTCTCTGGGCTATTTCAACCCAGATGATGTGGTTCTGGAGGGTGTGAGCCACTTCTGCAGAGGTAGTGAGTGGGGTTTAAAGTTTTTAATTGTGCCTACCTGGAGGGGTACGTTGTTTTTATTATTTAAATTGTGTGTGTGTGTGTGTGTGTGTGTGTGTGTGTGTGTGTCAGTGTGTGTCAGTGTCTGTGGAGGCCAGAAGAGGGCTTTGGATCCCCTAGAGCTGGAGATACAGGTGGTTGTGAATCATGGATGCTGGAAACTGAACTCCAGCCCTCTGGAATAGCAGTAAGTTCTCTCAACCTCTGAGCCATCCCTTCAGCCTAGGGTACCTTATTGTAATTGGCAGAAAGGCTGCATGTGGATGGAGCAGCAGCAGCTCTGAAAACCATGGTGGTAAAGCTAAATCCCTGCATACCTCTTTGCCTCCTTCACTGTAGCTTTCATGAAGCAAGCTCTCATGGACTTTTCCTGGTCAACCTGAGAGCTGAGGGGCATGGATTTGACACTGCCCTACAGAATAAGGTTCTGAGCGTGACTGAGGTCCTGAACTCCCAGATGAAGGAGAAAATCTCTGCTTCCTTGGATGGTGGCAGCAGACAATCCTCACAGTAATATGAGAGAACTGGCCATAGGAAGGCATCTCTGCCCAAGAATTAGCTAGAATCAAAAGAAAAACTCACACCAAACGCAACTCTAGCATTCAAAAAGTTCTCTACAGGCCAAGTAATCAAGTCCTTGTCTTTATTTTTGCTCCTGCTAACTACAGTTTTGGCTTTCATATAACGTTTTAGATTTATCGAAAGCAAGAATGACACAGCATGAATTTTGTACTCAGTGTGGTAAAACAAATGACGCACTTCTGTACACCTAGTCTGATGTAGGCCAGAGTCAAAATTTCTGGGGTTATTCCTTAACCAAACTATGCTATATAATGAAAAACTGTCCCATTCTTAAAAGAAAGTGAGCAAATGAGCTTTTTAAAATCTATTATTTTAAGCTGATCATATTTTAGAAAGAACCAAGAATGAGCTATTAAAAAAAAATCAATGCTGAAGGTTGGATCCAGGACCTTGGGCAAGATAGGCATGTGCTCTACCTCTGAGCTCTGTCTCCAGTCCCCAAGGAGAGAGATCTGAAGTCACATGTAGTTTTTGTTTTGTTTTGTCTTTTTGAGATAGGGTCTCCCTGTAGTCCCAGCTGGTTTGGCACTTGCTGTGTAGACCAGGCTGGCCTTGATCTCACAGAGATCTGCCTGCCTCTGCCTCCTGAGTGCTGGGACTAAAGGTGTGTGCCACCACGTCTGTTATACAGAATTTTTATTTTTCAAACATAAACATGTTTGCATATAAATATGTATATAAAATATATACCTTTATACACACACACACAGCCATATAACCAGAGCCCTACTCCCTTTTTCTTATACATTCAATTTGATTCCTAGGTTCTGTTGACTGCACTGCACTTCAGTGTTTGTAGATGAAGCAACTTGGAAGTTTTGTTTCCTGAGGAAAGTGTTGCTCACTCAGAACATGGAATCTTTAAGACTCTGAGAAGCAGGAACTGCAAATGCTGAGGAGAAACTGAGAAGTGTGTCGGGAGTGTGCACAGTAGAGTCGGGCTTTAGGTTAAGGGTCTACATGACTGGGTTCTTCCTTTTGCTCTAATTCTGAGCTGTCTGAAGAGTGGGGCTGATGCAGGACTGGGCTCCTGTGTGTGTGTGTGTGTGTGTGTGTGTGTGTGTGTGTGTGTGTATGTGTGTGTGTCTGAGTCCCAAGAGTAACAGTAAGTCATATTGCCATAAATGCTATTGATGGTCAGCGTGGCCACTCTGGGTGATGCCCTGTTGAGGATCTGTGTCCCTCCTGAATGTTATGGGAGTCTGACTTCAACTCCGTCTCAGGCCTGATAGTCATAGCAAACAAATAAAAGTGATAGCTTCAAAAATAGCCACAGGCTGTAGTTTACTATAATACTGTCTTTGCTATTAAGATGTATATATTTGGAACTTCATCCCCATTTCATAACAGTGCTCTTAATCCCTTGGAATTATCTGGGTGATAGGAATGTCTTTGTTCCAGTGAGGCAACTTTTGGTGGGTTCCAGGATAGGGCTGATCACCAGAAAGACTACACCATGATTAGAAGGTCAACCTCACACCCATCTTCTGGTTAGAAAGATGCTAAAGACTTGGTTACTAATTGACCATGCCCAGGAACTGTGAGATTTGGAAGCCTCCAGGTTGCTGAACTCTTCGAGCTTTAGGAGGGCCATGAGCCTGGAGAAGAAACGGAAGTGCCTCACGTTGCCCTGTGTGCCTTCATTTGGTGGTTCACCTGCATCCTCTGATGAGAAACTGAGAAATTCAAGTTCAACATTTCCCTGAGATTTGTGAACTGCTCTAGCCACTGATCAAACCTGAGGAAGGATTGTGGAAATGTTCAATTTATAGCTGGTCAGTCAGAATTGCAAGGGCCTGGATCTGAAACTGGCATCTGAAGGGGTAAGGGGTGGTCTTGTCGGGTTGAGTTCTTAACCTGTGGGATCTGACTCTAAACCTAGGTAGACAGTGTCAGAACTGAATTATATTAAAGGAGACACAACTACAGGAAAAATGACTAGTGCGGGAAAACATCCATATGCTTTTGGATGACCAGAACTCTAGTGAGAATATATAGTAGAGGGTTTTTTCCCATTTTGCTCACACTCCTAAAGGACCACTTAACAGATTTTTAAAAAATAAAATAAAGATCTTATTTTATTCAGATCTTTCCACAGAAAGGAACACCTCCTGAGCATTATGAAAGGCAGATACCTGATGACAACAGTGTTTTCCTCAAACCAGCACTTAGAACAGAGAGGAAAGGGGTGGAGGTGGGAAGTGAAACACAAGCAGATGTCTACTCGGCTGGCACAAGGCCAGCCCCTTACCATAGTGCGGGATGATGGCCCAGGCCATGGCCGAGGCGTAGATGCCGCCGATCATCCAGAACATGCAGAGCCAGCTGAGGTGCTCACCCCGCTTCTCTCGGGCCAGTACTTCAGCAAAGTAGGAGAACACAGTGGGAATGGCGCCTCCAATCCTGTCAAGAGGAATGGAAAACACATGAATTGGAGCTTGCACATCTCACATGAGGTGGGAAGGGAAAATCCCAAGGAGAATCTAGCAGTACACATCCTCTCCCACTCTTGGCATAGCAAACAAGTAGCATTTTCCATCATTTTATAGTATGGTCTCCATGGTGAATACAGGTCTATGTCACCCAAACTTGAAACTGCAATTAGGCTATATGGCCAAAAGGTGGCAGTGGTACCCTACTTGCTTTGGTTTAGAGCTTGGCTTGAGATTCAAATGGATTTTCTGCTCATGTTGGATGTTCACATTATTTATTAAAAGTCAGAATAATCTGGTGGCATATAGTGAATATTTTAACTGATACGTTTAAAAAAGAGAGACACTGTACTGTGTCTCACCTATGGGATTGATGGAATATTGGACACAGCTATAAACTCCCCTAGGAGGCTGTACTCCATCATGCAACCCCATCAAGGGGATGTGCCGACAAACACAGAATGAACAGGCTTACCTCTTAGATTGGCCCTAGTCTCTGTTCAGGGGATAACACAGCAGAATAAGGATGAACATTAGGGTCATTGGTAAAATGAAACAGACACATCAAGTATACACCAACAGGCTGGGGCTTCAATGTTTCCTTCCAGAATGGGTAGTAATTTGGATTTTGATTTTTACATATATGATTTTTTTGTTCCATTCTTCTCTTTTTCCCTTAAATATTTATTTTATTTACTATTATTTATTTATTTATGTCTTTTTTGAGATAGGGTCTCCCTGTAGCCCCAGCTGGCCTGGAACTTGCTATGTAGACCAGGTTGGCTTTGATCTCACAGAGATCCACCTGCCTCTGCCCCCCAAGTGTTGAAAATAAAGGCATGTGTCACCATGCCTGGCTTTTATTTTATTTGTTTGTTTGTATCATGGAAAGTATCATGTGTGTGTGTGTGTGTGTGCAGGTGGCTGTAGAGGCTAGAGAAGGTATCAAATACTTTGACCTGGAGTTATGGGCAGTTGTGAGCCCCTGATGTGTGGGTGCTGGGAAGCCAACTCAGGTCCTCTGGAAGAGCAGCAAGTGCTCTTAACTGCTGAGAATCTCTCCAGCCCCCTAAAAAGGGGTAGTTATGGGAGCTCTGACCGAGTTGGAGAGAAGACATGACCAATGGACTGTCTACTCAGGTAAAGGATTTTTAAAAATTATTTTGTGAATTGCATACAATATATTTTGATTATATTTAGATTCCCTCCTGTATCTGTGCCCCCTTCAACTCTTCACCAAATTTCTGTATTCTAACACCCCACTCCATATATATATATATATGTGTATGTGTGTGTGTATATATATATATATATATACACATATATGAATGAATAAATAAATCTTTAAGGGAAAGAGAGAAGAATGAAACAAAAATTATATATATATCTCCCTATACAGTCAGGTTGTCCCCAAATACCCTTTAGTGTGGTTCATTCACTGAAGCCTAGTCACCAACTAAGAGTCTCACCCTTGAATGTGACTGAATCACCCCTAGGTGAAGAGTTCTTAAGTGAGGGTCTACCCAACAAAAATTTTTTGTTCACTCTGGGAGGTGAGTCATAGATTTCATCATAATTTTACAAAAGTAAAATTTAGGATTACTGTCTCAAAAATATTACTTATTTTTGTTCCCAATTATATATCTGAGTATTTTCCAAAATAAATTGTTTTAGAAAGAAGTGCAACAATATAACCAAATTGTGCAGACAGCACCTGGGGATGTAAAGTACGCACTGTTTCATTTATGGTCAGAGTTCTACATGGTAAATTGCCATTGACATTTCAAATAAATGTGATGTCAAGGAGCAAAGGATGCCCATTCATCTAACAAGTGATTTTTGTTGAGCCTTTGATATCATAAAGGAGTATTGGTAGTGACTTTAGCAAATGCAATGTAAGGAAAGACCATTCTGCAGCAAACTGGACTAAATAAATGAACCAAAAGATGCACAACATTGTGTAGGTCAAAATAGGCAGAGTTTCAAGCATTTGACCCTGCTTATGGCGATGCTGTAGTTATTCACTATGGACATGGACAGAGTACTCAGGCCAATGGTATTCAGCCTGTGAGCTATGAAATTAATTTAGCACCTGCACAGCATCTTAAAAATTAGATAGAGATTAAAATATTTGAGGGTAATTCAACTAATAAAAAAGTTCATTTTATGAAACTTTTATTTCTATAAACATATTTATAGTGTACAATGAACATATATATAACATTATATAGTATTATATATATCATGATGGGACACAATATCTTTCCCTTCCCTCCTTCCTTCCTTCCTTCCTTCCTTCCTTCCTTCCTTCCTTCCTTCCTTCCTTCCTTCCTTCCTTCCTTCCTTCCTTCCTTCCTTCCTTCCTTCCTTCCTTCCTTCCTTCCTTCCTTCCTTCCTTCCTTCCTTCCTTCCTTCCTTCCTTCCTTCCTTCCTTCCTTCCTTCCTTCCTTCCTTCCTTCCTTCCTTCCTTCTTGCTCTTCTTTTTCCAATCCTGGGAATCAAATACAAGGTCTTGTGCATGCTTTGCAAGCACTAGACCAATGAACTATACTCCCTAGCCCTACAGTGTGTTTCTTGTAAGAGTTGCTGTAAGCCCCTTATCTAAAACATTTATATCTGCCTCTCTAGGCCACGGATACAGTGACTACCTGAAATTCCTATCATGACTCTATAAGTCTTCTAATGCAACACATGGGCAGCAACCAGGTCCCAGTCCATCATCCAAACCCTCAAACAAGAAACAACATATATGGTTGGCAGTGAGAACCAGCTGACCCCCATGTCACACTACACTGGACTCACAACTCTCTGGAAGAACTCATGCCATGGACAGCTAGCTCCTTTAAAAACTCAACAATGTTCAAATAGGTTTAAATGGTTTCATTACAACACACAGTTTTAGTAGGAAATAGGATGTGTTCCTCACAAGTTATTTAATGCTACTCCTTTGTCCACTTGATGTGTGGAATCTATTTTTCTGTAACATGAAGTCCCAGGTCCCTAATCTGGCATCACCTCCCCCACCTTCTCACCCCCTCCCCGGCATCCATGTGGAGGTCAGTGGACAACCTTGGATGCTGATTCTCGCCTTCCACCTGGTATGCGGCAGTTTCTTTCTTGGTCTCCACTGCATATGACAGGTAAGCTGTCCTGCAAGCTTCTGGGTATTCTCCTGTCTCCACCTCCCTGTAGGAGCTCATGCTATGCATCCAATTTTCACATGCGTTCTAGGGATTCAAACTCAGATCCTCATAATCATGTGGCAATCTTTTACCCATTGGGCCATATCTCTAGCCCTGGTATCACTTTTTAGTGGATAAATGAGTTGCAGTTTCTACTGATTTTTCATATCCCAATTAATGTTTCATTAGGATTCTGAATGTTTTGTATGGAACAGAGAGTTGTAAGTCATCCTTTGTGAAAGCCAAGATATGCCAGGTGTCTCTGATCTGAGATAAATGTACTCTGGCATGGCTCAAATTTTAGGCTGTAACCCTGGCTGTTAGTTTTCAGTAAGTCATAGTTACAAAAGGGACAAATATCAAGTATTCAGCAATCAAGCTGGTTTGAATCATTGCCTTTTCCTAAGGTGGTTCTTTTTGCATGGGATCTATCAATCTGTATATACACCAGGCTGCAAAGAACTCCAATGAAAGATAAATTAGGCTGAGGGATTAGCGTGGGATCCTACTTAAATCCTTTGCAAAATTCTTATTTATACTCAGAGATCTATAAAACAGTCCAAACGTTTACCTTCTTATTGTGGGGTGGATATCTGTTTTAGGGAAAAGATTACACAGCCTCCTTTACACAGAAGGAAACCATTCCATTGTGCTGAAATACTGCCTATCACTGATATTTCCTATTCTATGCAAGTTGAAGGTAGAAGACATACGGTGTGTCTCTTTGTGCCCCGTTCATCTAGCCCAGTGGTCTGACACATATGTTCACTCCTAAGAACTGAATTGCAGATTTTCCCATGTTGAAGTAGGCACACCAGCTATAAAGGTTTGAATGAGAAATGTCCCCAATAGGCTTATGTATATAAATGTTAGGTCCCTTGTTGGAAGCACTGTTTGGGGGAGGGTATGGAACCTTTAGGATGAATAGCCTTGCAGTAGGAAGTACATCACTGGGGGCAGACTTTGAGAGTTTATAGCCTCATTCCACTTCCAATTCTCTCTCTCTGCTTCTTGTGCGTGGCTGAGATGTGAATCTCCAGCTGCTCCTTCCATGCCCCTTCCCTCACCATTATGGACTCTTCCTCAGAAACTGTAAGCCAAAATAAATCTTCCTTTTATAAGTTGCTTTTGGTCATGGTGTTATCACAGGAACAGAAAAGTAACTGATATACCAACTCTCCCGGACTATTCTGCTCTGATGACTTAAGTATCCTGATGAACAGAAATATATACCAGTCTTGTAAGTCAGTCTGGCCACAAAAGAAGCTGAAGATACTGGGATAGAAGTAGTGATTATAGAAAGCTTTCAAAGTGTTCCCAAGTTCATTGTGCACCTCGGTCACTATGACCTTGTTTTCCTCAGATGCCTCGACGGCCCTTATCACAGGAAGAGTTCACTTGGAGCTAGTCAGAGGACAGTGGGCAATCCTAGTGGGCATTCTTGGAGCTTTTCAAATACCTCTGTGCCTTTTATAAAAATGTAGATGCTGGAGCTGGAGAGATGACTCAGCAGTTAAGAGCACTGTGTGCTCTTGCAGAGGACCCAGTTTCGATTCCCAGCACCCACATGGTGGATGACAACCATCTGTAACTCTAGTTCCAAGGGAATTCAACACCCTCTTATGACCTCCACAGACATTGCCTGACACAGTTGCACTGACATATATATAGGCAATACACTCATATGCATAAAATAAAAATGATGAATAAAATATTTAAAAAATGTTGAGAGCCATGTGGATCTCTGAGAGTTTGAGGCCAACCTGATCTATATAGCAAACTATAGGGT